AATCAGAGGCGAAGCGCAAGATAATTTCGGCTAGAAGAATAAGCGTCACAATTGTTTCCGTATTGTCGATAAAGTTTCTTCGATTAGGGGACATGGTGGCAGTCCTTAGTGCTTGGACAACTAGATCGAAAATGATGACGCAAACCCAGAGCCACTCAGTCTTATCATAGAAACCTTTGAGAGTGCTTCTCTTTCGAGAGTCAAGGTTTTCTTTTTCGACATTTTCCAGCTTCTGAACAGCGAAAGCGCTCCGTTTACTCTCTTCTCTGATAACTTGAAAAGTATGTGTGATGACAGCAACCAACAAGTTCACTAACCACAGACTCAGGATGATGAAGCCACATACGAAGAAAAGAGCAGCCGCAAGATAATCAGTGTCAGTGGTATAGTAAAGAAGGTCCGTGAACGTGTTTGAGCTCATGATCACGAATACGAGCTCCAGCGAATTCAGAATGTTATCGAAGTTCATAGTGCCTTTGTAAGGCATATCATTTTCGATGCATATGGACCCCGCAGGACAGAGGTAGCCTTTGGCTGAAGGTGGGGATTGTGGGTTATCAGATTGTGGTATCCAAGGATGTTCCTTGCCAGTGGTTGCATTGATATAACCCCCGCAAAATTGAATGGTCCCATCGGGATCATTTAAAGTAAAATTCTCCTGGCCATCTTTACCAATCCATTGACAAGTTCTTCGGAAGCTTGACTTAAAGCTCTGGATACCCACGATGGCAAAAAGGAGCCAGAAAAATCCAATAAGAAAGGCGACATGGGCCAACAGTGGTGCTGCCTTCTTGAGACTGCGAAGAATCACCTATCAACTTATCAGCAGACGTTTGGAAAGGAATGAGGTGATTACGACTGACAGAGGTGCCATTGGTCAGTGCGAGAAGACGCAAAAGCCGAAGACAGCTTAGCATGCGAAAGACATAGAGCTGCTGGCGACTCTCAACCCCTTCTATAGCAAGAAAGAAAGCTATCCAATAAGCGACTACGGCCACAAAGTCGAGCCGATTGAAAGAATGTCGGAGAAAAGCTCGGTGAGCGAGACGCACACGACGTTTCTGGACAGGATCATCGGCTATTTGCCGATCCAGTTGGTTTAAGCCGCCAGTAAAGGTTCGTATAATTGATGCTTGCGGCTGTTCCGGAACAGCCGACGGTCTCCTCGTAGAGAACTGGCGTTGCGGGGTAATGAGGTTCTTTCCTTTCTCCAAAAATGCTTTCCTGAACCCCAGGGATCGGTCTATGGTACTATATTCGGCCGGGTTGAGGATAAGCCCGGATACCAAGATTTTGGCGATAAGTTCAAGGGTGTAAATTATGAAGATGACAAAGTAAGGATAGTCCATCGGATTCCGCCCCCATCGTTCTGACCTTGTAAACTCGGGACGTGCCGTCTCGATGGTCAGTAAGATCATTTGGATGACAATTACTATCAAGATGAATGGTTCTGTGAATGAATGGACAAGCAGATCACACAACCTCACCCGAATAGCGTTACTAGGGCCCAGAATTCCGAGAGCCTTCCCCCTCAACGGGTTGTTATGATCTCTCCATTTTGCTTGGCTATCCAGCGACGAAGTAGATGGCGCATCGTGTGCATATCCCGGTAGCGAAGGGAGAGACGGAGGTGCATCTAGTCGCGCACTCCTGTGTGATTCTTCTCGTAGGATCGACTGCTCAACAACTTCGGGTTCGTTACTCAGATTGACGACACGCTGAGACATGGACTTCATCATTGAACTAGCGCGTTGCAAAGCAGAGCCCGACGCTGACGGGGACAGCGAGCGAGCCCTGTCGGTGGCACTGCTGCCGCCGCGACGCCTCCCACTGAAACCGCCCTCCAAATCATCACCCAGGTGTGACCCCGTGTTGGTCGTAGGAAAGTGTACGGTTCGCGCGCTACTTTGGTCATCTAGCGGAAGGCTAAGAGAACTGGACGCCGCCCCGCTTATAGGCTGGACGTTTCGGGCGTCTGTTAACGGCGTGGTATCGGTGAATGTGTTCGGGGATAGGTAATGCGCTGCCTCTTGCTGCCCAAAACCATCCAAGTGTACGATGTCGAAGTTGGAGCTGGTCTCATCACGGCTATACCTTGCTGAAGTCCTTGGGCTTGCTGGACCATCGAAACTGAGTCCGACTGAAGACATTGCCTGGGCGAATGCCTCTGGGTTGTCCACCGGCGCGGCATCGGACCCTCGCCGCTGGCGTGCATTTTGTGTCGCAGTCGGGCCTTCAACGGGGGAGTCCACGGCTACCCTCTCATAATTGCTTCCGCGCCTGGTCAGCGACCGCCCCGGACGGAAGCTGCTTCCAACCGTGGCTGTTGCACCATGCGACAACGATCCGGAGAGGTCTTGTAAGGGTATTGAGTGTTCGGTAGGATGACTGTCATCGTTGGTGCCGCGGTCATGGCTATTCGAAGCCATCGTAGGCAGGGTCGGTCCGCTAACCGAAGGCAGACATCGCAGACCGCCAGTACAGAAGTGGTGAGAAGTGTCTGATACGTCGTGTGTCCCAGTGCGTTAAACCGCGCTGGAAACTTACACCTGGTGGGACTGTTTATAAGCGCGCCGACGGACTTTTTCTTTAATTTATTTTGTGAGAAAGAAGGTATGGGCTGCAGGGGCTCCCGGATGAAACGTCAATAATAAAGCCCAATCAATCACAGGTCCTCATCAGTGTAATGGACCTAACGGAAACAAAGAAGTAAGACTAGTAAGGTACTGGACAAGTGGTCGACTCCAGATTCCAATTGCACAGCATGCGCGGCGGAGCTCCGGCTTGACTCGTTCAAGTGCCCAAGCGGTCAAACTGGGGCCAGGGTGGGCGCCCAGTGGTGATTGGTTGGAACCACGAACTGCGCATTAAACGTCCCGAGCCTTATAGGATGTACTGTGTAAAAAGTCCCTCGGAATATGGTCCCCAGCCACACTTTCTATTCGCAGAACCGAACTTAGTCAAAATTTAGGTATATGGGGTTGTATAGTAACACGTCGTTCTTCTATGTTTTCTTAATTTATGTGATCCAATTCATAGGTATTATTCTTATGATTGTTCCATTTTCTCTCATTCGATTACAAGTGCCTTCTGAGACTTTTTTTTTTTTTTTCCTCGTCAGGGCCATAAATACCGTACCGGACAAATACCGACCTGGAGGAGGGGAACAAAATTACGTTGCCTAGCTGAAGTGAGCACACTGAGTGAGTGGTCCCGCCATATCCAAAAATAACTCCAATGCAAGATGTAACTGCTATTATTAATCTTCGGTATTATGAGATGATCATCATTCTCCTTCACTCTACAAAAAATACTTGGTATATATCTACTTCGTAATTCTCGAAAACAAAAAGAACATGGGGGAAATTCCCCTTGACATGCTTCAACATCTATTTAATTCAATGCAATTCAATGCAATTCAATGCAATTCAATCGGTTTCCATCTGGTTTTCCTGATCCGAGTCTTTAACATGATTCCGAACGCCTTGGAGAAAAGCCTCAACAGCATCACCACCGCCTAATGGGACTCCTCCTCTACGCATAAATCCTCCATTTTCAACTGGGATCTTGAGGGCTTCACTAATGCTCGGCAATCCACCATCTCTGATAGCCACCGTTAAACTTGCAAGGCTTTGGGTGAATTGGGGCGAATGCAGGACTTTTCTCAGAATATTCTTCTTTTGTGAGAGGTCAAGAGATGCCATGACGGCTTCGAGCAGTTCAGGGTCATCAACAGAAGACACATCCTCTACATCTTGTGCCAAGAGGAGCAATGCAGGCGGTAAGAAGCTCAAGAGATTATCAACAGTTTTATCATCTGCAGACTCTAGGAAAGGAAGTGTAGCGGCAGGGGGTAGAAGATCTTGCAGGGTGGTAAACGGTCTGTCGGGGTCCTGGGACCGGGTCGAATTTCTTTGTAAAGACTGCAAAAAGCTCTGCACGACAGAGGAGGGATCTGAATCAGCAGCCGCCCTGTAAGATCACCAGCGAGTCAGCCGGCAGTCAAGATCCACACGTCTAAAGGGGAAGCTAGTATAGAGAAAGAGAAAGATAGAGAAGACCGCGCGCATTCTATAAGTGGATAGATTATATCCCAGGGAACAGATCAAACCGACGGGCATTATGCTCAGAAAATGTAAACGCAGAAATATGTACCTACGCTCTTCCACCGTCAGCACCACCCTCCCGCGATTCCTCGCCTTCTTCTCTAATATCTCCCCCAGTTGCATCCGGACCGGCACCTCCACTGTTGCCACCATGGTTATGGCTGGGGTTATGGTCCACACCCTCGACATCCTCCATAGTCTCATCATCACCATCAGACGGACCTCTAGGGAGGTTGGCAATTTCGTGTTCCACATCTACATCCTCGCCTTGAAGTAGCGTGTTGACAATGTCTCCAAGCTTGAGATCCCTGGGGCTGAACCAGCTAGGGTCTTCGCCTTCGTGTTGAGACTTGGACTGTAGCCAGAAGAGATACCGTTGAGAGCTGGATGAGAATTTCAACACGTAGATCCGACCGTTCGTAGGATTCGCATTTCCGGCTGGCTTATAGGGAGTGAAGGTTCCATCGGATGGAACCATCACCAGGTCCAATTCGGGCTCTGTGTGGGGAGCAGTCCGAGGGCGCCAACAGAAGTGTACTAGCTCATCTTCGGAATAGAGATAAATGTAACCGGGGGTAGACTTTGGCTTAACTGTAGAGCTATCACCGGATGTCTACCAAGCCACATTCAGTAAGTAAAAGGAAAAAAGTAAGGGAATGAGTGGGGAGGTGTTGGAGAGTGATGCCAAAAGTTGAAGCTTAGAGGAAACTCACATCCAAGTCACAGATACCCGCTTTAAACGTGATGATCGGAGTTACAGACATGATTAAAGAACGGGTCAAGATAAGTAGGCGGCGTGTTTAGAGAAGAAAAATGGGGTTGGTTTTCGTCGTGAGATGAGAATCTCAACGGGGTAACGTGGAATGCGGACGAAGTCAGATCGAGGCAAGATACGTCAGTTACCACTGGAGGTGGTTGAGGTGCCCCAGACAACCTCTAGGTTAGCTCCATTACGCCTTGGGTCTCTCTGCGACGCCGCAGGTTACTAAGGCACTAAACACCTCAGGCAGAAAGGCGGTGGCCAAGTCGGAGAAGATCTTAAAAACTCGGCCCAATTCGGCACTAGTGGCTTTCGGCTCGAGCCCTAACGCACACACTCTCCCTTCGCACTTTCCCGCCTAGGCCGCGAGTAGTCTCATCAACTCCAACAACCACCCGCCGTCGACAACCACCACCACCCCCTCCCTTCATTCTTTTCAGTCTCCTTCGTCCCAGCAGCCAATATGTCGGAGACGAAGCAGTTTGGAAAGGGCCAGAGGACCGTGCCGGCTCAGAAGGCCCAGAAATGGTACCCCGTTGATGACGAGTCGCAGCCCAAGAAAGTCAGTACACCCTTGTGCAAAAAAATACAAAAAGTGAATGGTGATGGAGATGCGGTTTCTTATGAACGAGTACGACGATTGCGCCGGTCAATGAGCCGTTTCGTGGTTGGAACAAGACCAGTGAATACGGAACTTTAGTTGATAAGGAAATCGCATCTTTGGCACTATCTACAACTCGGAAATTGCGTGTTTGTGGAAATATAAGAACAAGCGTTCTGACATGGTTATTTTTCTATCTAAACAGGTCCGCAAGGCTGTTCGTCCCACCAAGCTCCGGGAGAGCCTCCAGCCCGGTACTATCCTGATCCTCCTCGCCGGTCGCTTCCGTGGCAAGCGTGTTGTTCTCCTCAAGCACCTTGAGCAGGGTGTCCTCCTCGTCACCGGCCCCTTCAAGATCAACGGTGTTCCCCTTCGCCGTGTCAACGCCCGCTATGTGATTGCCACCAGCACCCGCATCGACATCAGCGGCGTCGACGCTCAGACCGTCGAGAAGGTCTCCACTCCCGACTACTTCACCAAGGAGAAGAAGGCCGAGAAGAAGACCGAGGAAGCTTTCTTCAAGCAGGGAGAGAAGCCCGAGGTACGTGTACCGTGTCATTTGACCTGGATATATATGTATATGATAGATCTGGGCCGATGACCGCTCGGTAAGATGGTTTGTGGGTTGCTAATTCGAGAAACAACAACAGAAGAAGAAGGTTGCCAGCGCCCGCGCCAGCGACCAGAAGGCCATTGACCAGTCCATCCTGGCCTCCGTCAAGAAGGAGAACTTCCTTGGCAGCTACCTCGCCAGCACTTTCAGCCTCCGGAACGGTGACAAGCCCCACGAGATGAAGTGGTAAACGTGCGACGCGGCGGCCGCGGGTTCGGTAGTTATTGTGGAGGAATTCATGTGAGGGGCGGCTTGAATGCGGATTGGCATTCCCAATGTGGGAAGCGCTTGCAGCGCAGGAGGAACAGCTCATGAAATATGTAACTCGAGTCGGGCTCCGTCTTTGCTCATTAGGATTACGGTCAATTCGGAAAACCGGTTGTTATTTCTGTTTCACGATCAGTCCCTCCTGCGTCGCCAATTTGCAGGACCTATAAATGAGCCGAAATGAAAAGAAAAAAAAAGAATAATACCTTTTCCAGCTGTTATATGATCCCCCTTTAACGTGCGGCTGGGAGTTTGTCATGTCTAGTATGATACGTCATCGATTTCCAGGTTCGGGTGACAATCTAAAATTGGGAATTCAAGTTTCTGTTAAGATTCACTTTACCAGCATTCCAGATGCCGCTCCTATCTGTAGGGATTTACGATTGACTATGTTTTGTGCCTGTGGACTCTCCAGCGCCCTATGTGACTCCGATACGATATGTTCAATACAATATGTGCAACCCGCGGTCTACCCATGATCAGGACTTTATAATTGTATCCTAAAGAATCCAATTCCCGTCGCGCCATACGCGAAACAAAATTTCGTAACCGGAAGACATCACTCATCGGTTAGGGCACATACCCCAACCTTCTAGAACATGACCCGTATACATCACATTGCATCAGCAAACCTAATAATCATTCCTCCGCCTCCTCAACTTATACCGTTCATCCCTCCTCTTCCTCGTAGACTCTTCAATCGCCCGTCTAATTTGCTCGTCAATCATCTCCTTCTCACTCAGAGCCTCCTCCAACTCCTCCTCATCCTCGTCTCCTCCCACAGTAGTCCCACAAATCCAATCGAGGATCCCCCACGGGCCGAAATTCCCTTCCGCCCCACTGAGCAAATGCATATCCATCCTACGTGCGATCCCGCCCAGGAAGAAGCTCGTCGGCATAACAGAGTAGCCGGAGAAGGCGAATGTCTCCTCGATGGATATCACGGTAAGGTAGAGGAGGTAGGAGAGCATGTGGAAGCGGAAGAACATGGCGGGCAGATAGGTGGGGGTGAAGTTGGAGAGGAGGTAGGCGAATGGGTGGTCGTAGTGTGCTGTGAGGGGGAAGGGAGCTCGTAGCGAATGGTACCATTTTCGATGGTATTTGGAGACTTGGTAGTCTGGGGAGTGGAGGATGAAGCGGTGGATGTTGTAGGTTAGGATCTAGTTCATCGTTTCGACAATCAAATGTTAGCTAATGTGGCTCTCTTTTCTTGGTCTTGGGGGTTTTCGATTTGGTTCTCTTCAGTATATTCATGGTTCATGTATGTCTGGATTAAATTGGAACACGCCCAACTCACCTCTCTTGCTAACAATCCCCGCAATAGATCTTTCACCATCTCCCAGGGCATCGGTAATTTCATCGACACCCTTAATGCACTCCGCATCCCGAATAGCTCTGTCCGGACTTCCTCTATCGCTGCCTGTGCCGCGAAGCTCAACCCAATGTTGAGCATAGCCCATCCCGCAACCTTGAGATCCTTCATTCTGACTTTACCCCGTTTACTTCCTGCCGGAAGACCAGCTTCACCCTGCGCCTTTACAACAACAGCAGCGGAGGGGGTCAGGATGTCGAATAGGAAGAACAGAAGCGACGGAAGTAGAAAGAACAGGAGTCGCACGGCTGCGGTGCCGAATAGTTCGACTCGGAGCGGAGGATGCGACAGCACGAGAGTCGTCCATGTCATGTAAAAGAAGATTATATTGAGACTCGTGCTATATGAGGAGATCGTGGGGACTAGGAATAGAGAAAGCACTGGTAATGAGAGGAGCGCGTCCATTGTGTGCTGTGCGTTGCTGTGTTGACCGTAATTTTGATCGCAGGTATTTATCTTTTATATTTCTGATTTATATGTTCGGCTTCGCATGCATCGTTTAGTAGGTATGCGAAAGGAAAAAAGGGAAATAAACAGTATAATAACCGACCGGGGTATTCAATATATGAACAAACAAATCCCAGTCTATGTCATTGTCGCAAATGGAGGTCATGAGCATACTATATGGTGGTGGATTTGGGTAAGAAATCCGTTTGCAGCCTTAGCGGCTGAGCGACACGACGTCACCCTCACGATCCACATGCCAACATGTTGTTGTTCTGCCCTAATCTTGCCCGACGTTGCCTAAGATAGTGCTACCACTTAACTTCATTCTATCGCATTTCACTAGGATATACAACCACACAATTCATTATTTTCTTATAACTTGCCAACCCCTGGTCTCCTAAAGAGAGGACCAAAGAATAAAAAATAAAAAATAAAAAATAAAAAATAAAAAATAAAATTATAATTAAAATCCTTGGGAAAAGGGAGAGAACAAAATACTAATATATTTCATATACTTACACGAATTATGAACCTTACTTTCACCCAACCTGCTGGGCATCATTTAGACAAAGGTTTCCATTTCAGGGACAAGACATCAAACACTCGAATGGCACGTGTTTAGCATGGGTCTAATGTAGGTACGGCTTAATAACACCTAATATGACAACTCATAGACAGGAACACCAATAGCAGGTACGGATTTAAGGACAAGCGAATAAGGATGCCTAAGGATGTTCATGGGTATCTAACCATACACCGGACAACAAAACAAGCCACTTCCCAACACCACTACACCTTACTCCGACGTCCGGGACGACGGAATACCGTTCTTCATACCCCAGTTCCAGGCCTGCTTTCGGAGATCAGGAACTACCTGCAAGAATGCCAAGCTACTGAGCCAGCTGGTCAATGTGTCGCGGACAGTAGAGTTCCTTGGGCTGCCTCCCATGGCGCTCCCCTTCATCACATGACCAACAAACATAGTCGTGATAAGGTATTCGCCTCTTTCCAGTGCCGCAATCGCTATTCTCGCAACCTCGTCAGGAGTCTGTGGCTTGTCGGCAGCCTCCAGTTGTTTTGTCAACTCAGGCTTCAGCTTCTGTTCGTTGTCAAAACCAGGGCTAAGAATTCCCATCGGGAAAACTGTGTGGACCTTGACGTCGGCAGGAGTAGCATTGATTTGCGATTTTGATTGACGAGTGCCGTTATACATTTCAATCTCTTGATTGAGGGTGTCGGATAAAGAACGAATTGCGGCCTTTGCAGGAGAGTAAGGCCCGTACCCAGCGATCGGCACAAAAGCTAGCGTGGAACATGTAAAGATAAGATGTCTTCGCGGGTTTGTCGTCTGTTCGCTTGGAGGGACAGGTACTAGCCACTTTCTAAGGGTCGCATGGGCGGTGTTCGCCGCGGTCCAATAGACCGTGTCCATCTGATCTCTAAGTGTTTGGACTGGTGTGTCAACGAAGAACCCAGGGTTGCAGTAACCTGCGCAGCACCACACGATGTCAGGAGGAAGGCCATAATTCCACTCAGTGACCTCTTCAATGATCTGCTCGCATTGCGCAGCGTTCGTAAGGTCGGCACTGATATAATGGAACCTTTGCCTGTTCAAATTCGCAGCCGACGCCTAATAAAGGTAAGTATCTTTTAGCATAGTGCATGCACACGTAGCGGGTTTACCTTAACATGATCAAGCGCATCTTGAAGCTTCTTGACTGTTCGTGCAACGAGGACAACGTTCGCACCCTTTGCGGCAAGCTGGCAAGCGACAGCCTTGCCCATACCCTCAGAACCACCCGTAATCACCACGGTCTATAATATATATAGGCATGATTAATAGTTTGTTTACGGGAAAGAGAGAGATTATATCGCATACCCTGCCCTCCACGACGAACTCGTTCTGTTGAGATCCGAAACCCAACACCTTCAAGCTGGGAAATATCCTGGAAACCATCTTGGTAAATGTGTATAGGAAGAACCCGCAAAGAATGACGGAAACCCCCAACTTGGTGGGAGATTGGTCGTTAGGGATAAAGGATTGTATTTGATGCATGGGGAAGAAGGAAGAAGATGATGAGGATCTCAGGAAGATAATGTGAAGAACCTGACCAGACAACAAAGTTAGTCCGTTGAGGAAGGTCAATTGGCCCTGCTGCTTCCTCTTCAGTCGAAGTTCAGATGCCGATCATCAAGATGGTTTGGAAGCCTTTAGGAGCTTCCGTACATAAAGCATACAGTGGGGGCCTTCCGATTTGGTGGCATTCCACCTGTGACAGTCTGTATCGCCGATCAAACACTGCAAATTTTGCCTAGAAGAGACTAGCGTCTTCAAGGCGGTAAGCGTCCCGCCCAAAATTTTATCGCGGAGGTTTATCGATTCCGCAGATTTGGCCTGGATTAGATCAATCTTTTCTTGTTCATTCGGAAGTCAAGCCATGGGGAAAAGAAAAGCGAGTGGTCGCCCGGCGGCCAGGAAAGGGTCCGCCCCAGAACGTACAAAATTCAACATCGAGGAGAGGTTCGACGACTCCGAAGATGAATTTCAGACTGGTCGGGATCAAGTCCTGCTGGAGGAAGAACCGGAGGCGAAGAGACGGCGGAAGGTGGCCCAGGAAGGTTAGTTTAGGCGGTTCATCGTGGCTGTGATTGTTTTCTGACAGGGCGACTTTCTAGAGGAAATGCTCCAACCTTCTGATGAAGAAATCATGGGTTACGAGTCGGTCGACGAAGACGACCTAGAAGACGATGAGGACATGGATGAGGTGGATGATTACGGCGAAGAGGAGGAGATAGACGACGAAGAACTCTTACGTCCTAGAACAAAGCGCGGTGGTGCTGCGGGGTCTGATTCCGAGGACGAGGACGAGGATGGCATTGCTGCTTGGGGTTCATCGAAGAAAGACCTTTACAATGCCGATCAAATAGAAACGGAAGCGGATGCTCTTGAGGAAGAGGAGGAAGCTAAAAGACTTCAACAGAAGCATTTGCAAGCGATGGATGAGGCAGACTTTGGCTTTGACGAAACCGAATGGGTCGAATCTGGCAAAGGGCAAGAAGATAGGGAAGGTGATGCTGGAGAAGTCACGGAGGTTCTCCCGCAGTTGGAAATCACAGACGATATGAGCACAGAGGAGAAACTGAAAATTTTGAAGTCGAGATATCCCGAGTTCGAGCCATTGGCAAAGGATTTCATCGACCTTCAGACAACACATCGCACGCTTGCAGAAGCCGCTGAGGCTGCCAAGACCACCAAAGATGAAGTCCCGGAAGTTGCCCCAGTTGCTGTCATTAAATTCCGTGCCCTGTCGGCTTATCTTGGTACCTTTACTATGTATCTTCTGCTTTTAACATCATCTCGTGATGCCTCTGGGAATCCGGCTCCCTTGTCCCCGGCTCAGCTTCGATCACACCCCGTTATGGGTGCTCTAGTGAAGTTCCGCAAGCTTTGGGAGTCTGTCAAAGACCTTACTGCTCCCGAAGTGTCGGATATCGACGAGGATATGGACAGCGAAGAGGAGGTATCTGACGCACCTGTCTTCAAGAAGCAGAGTGAAAATAAGGAGGTGCAAATTACCAAGAAAAAGAAGGAAAAGGTCTCCAAAGCACAACGCGCCGCCGAAGCAGCACAGGCAGAGGCAGAAGCTCGTAGGGCACAGAGACTACGGGAGACAGAGGCTAATCTTGCGGATCTCTCGAATCTCGTCACGAAGCCTGGCAAGAAGAGAGCCACTCAAAAGGCTAAACAATCTTCTAAGGCTGCTGATGACTCCGACTTCGGTGATGAAGATGCTCTTACTGCTAAGGAGGCCGAGGAGAAAGCCAAGCAGAAGCGTTCTCTTCGTTTCTATACTTCCCAACTCGCACAGAAGGCTAACAAGCGCACTGCTGCTGGTCGCGATGCTGGTGGCGATGCGGATATACCTTATCGTGAACGTTTGAAGGATCGCCAGGCTCGCTTGAACGCTGAAGCTGAGAAGCGTGGTAGACAGAAGCCTAAGGAGTCCGAACAACTGGGTGGCGATAGCGACGACGAAGACCATCGGGTTGCCAATGAGCTTAGAGGGGACCAGGGCGGATCAGACGATGACGATTATTACGATATGATCGCTGCACGCTCCAAGCAACGTAAGGATGATAAAAAGGCGCGTGCCGAAGCCTACGCTGCTGCTGCCCGTGAAGGAGGCGAGGTGGCCATCCAGGAGGAAATTGGACCAGACGGCAAACGAGCCATTACATACCAAATCGAGAAGAACAAGGGTCTTGCGCCCAAGCGGAGCAAGGACTCTCGTAATCCCCGTGTCAAGAAGAGGAAGAGGTTCGAAGAGAAGAAGAAGAAGCTGGGTAGTATCCGCCAGTTATACAAGGGTGGCGAAGGTCGTGGTGGTTATGGTGGTGAACTTACTGGCATCAAGAAGAACCTGGTCAAAAGTGTCAAGCTATAGAATTTTCCCCTTTGTTGTTTCTTTGCGGTATGAGTGGATACTTATAGTCCGGGCGTTTGATCTCGTGATATCAAAAAGGATTTGTGTGTACATATATAATTCATATGATAAAACCTCTGTTCGAGACCCATTTCCTTCTTAGACTGGTTTAAAGACATGCACATTCTGTTAACAAAACAAATTTCCTCGCTGAACAGTGAAACTATACTCCTTCATTGGTCTCTCCAACAAGCATGCTTAGCATATCACTCACAGCTTCATCGCTTCCTGTTGACAGATCTAAACCTAGAAATTTTCTCGCAAGCATGTCCTTCGATCATGTCAGTCTCTTATGTGTTAGACAAAAGCCAGAAGACAATAGTATTGCCCTACCGCTTCTTCCAAAGCGTGCATATTCTCAGCTGACAACATGGCACAAGCTGCAGTCAAATTTTCTCCACGAACAGCGAGTGATGCCAGCTCATCTGCCCGTTCTACGATCGTCTCGTTGATTCCGTTCAGCGCCGCACAACTATCTCACCCATGCAAATTAGATATAAGACCAAGACATCCTGTGTGTACGTGAAACGCACATCGGTCCATAGCTCTTATCGCTCCGGCCTAGATGGAAACTATGTCAAGATTTTGTTAGCAGATCAAGTTCGTCTTATGTAATGAAGTTTCGGAACAGACTTATAGAGATATGTGATCTGGTCTTCCGCATTGCAGGATTCTTCGCAAACCTGAATCTCCATATGACCGAGCAGCAGTCGGGGCCCTGGCTTGAGAAACTCATTCTCGAGCATCTCGTGGAAATGTGTTGCAGCAATAACCTTCGGCGCATTCTCGACTATGAGTAAGTGGTTCAGAATTCCGCAGATTAACCCGATACCATCTATAGCAAATATTTTAGTGTCTGACATGGAAAATAGTGTAAGTGAAAGAAACGGACCGCTCTCGCTGGTACCCTTGCCAAACTCATCTATTATCAATAAGCTGCGCTCGGTCATCTGCCTCAAGTCAAACGATATCTGTTGCAGATCGTTCATAAATGTGCTCTGGATCTGGAGTGGCATTAGCCTTATCCATAAGTGAACACAAGTTGATTGCTATCACCTGGGAAACACTATCTTGGCTATTAGATTTGACCAGTATCTTGTCCGTTATCCCTATTTCGACACTTTCTGCTGGAACGAAGCTACTGTATTCAGTTGCATGTAGTTAGCATGACCAGGTGATTCGCTGCCTTACATACCTTCCCACCTGTGCCAGATAAATGATCAAAGCAACCTGATGTTCATTACAAGGTGAATACCTCTGTGGAAATCATTGTACTTACCTGCTTCATATAAACGCTCTTTCCAGAGTAATTCGGGCCTGTTAATAGCAACATGCTTGGAGTACCCCATGTTTCGAGTGCTATTTGGGATTTAAATGAAGAACATGGAGCCCATGCACCTCGCTTCCCACCAACTAACAGGGTATCGTTCGGCACATATGACGAGACAGTCAATTCTTGGAGAATATGCCTGCCGAGATGTCAGCACGCGCCAATAAGACTTTCCCTCGTTTAGTTTTACCGGCCTCCTTTGATGCTGATGACATTCTCTCGCACTAATTTCGGGCAGGTCAGCCTATAGAAGCTTGCTGCCTGTGACATGGCAAGGAGGCTGCGAGAAATCAGTCTATGTCAGTCAAGAGGGCGTTGAGAGCGCTTGCCTATCAATGTGACCACATATATCTGATACCTCGAGGAGTACTTTCTCATATTGAAGCACTTTCTGTGCTAGCTCATAGACAATCTCAATTTCTTTTTCTTATAAACAAACAAAGAATTAGTATAATATGCAGAGATTATATAACTCAATACGTACCACATATCAGCCCATATATATCACCCAATTTCTCATCCATCTCCCTCATTCTAAAGTCTTTAAAATATGCCCGGACCTCGGTGACAAAAATGAGCTCCCAATCATCATCGGAGCCAGTGAAGGCTGCCTCACCCCTATTGTTCAGCGGGATCGCGATATTAAAGCCAAGCTGGGGGAAGTATATCACATTCACATCAATTTCAAGGCTTTCCGGAATGGTACTCGCAATATCTATTGCAACTTGCTTCAACAAACTGCTCAAACCATCATAGCTGTCTTTCAACTTATCAAGTTCTCTGTCTAGTCCCGGCTTTACCACCGTCCTACCCTGCTCCTCGGTGCTATCAATATCGACCTGTTATCTCTTAGTCGAGGCTTCTAAAGGTAGGCTTAGGTTCCTTACTATCTCTTGGATCATTCGTCCAACCCTGTATAACTGAGCCGCTTCCAAAATTCGAAGAGCCTGGAAATGTCAGTGTACATATAATGGTCAGAGTGTTATACTTACCTTTTGAAGCAAAGCTAGTTCGTTCCCGGAAGCAGTTTCCTTGAGGGCATCATGAATATCAATACCGTAGAAGGCAAACTATGAAACTTTTAGTAGATTGCTATATATAATCCTACCCTGCTTGACATACGGCTAGCAAGGTGGCCCATACTGTGGTCTTGAAGCCTGTTATTTTGCCACTTCCGGTACTTATTCCTTTTCGAAGGTTGACCATAACGGGATGGAGGTTTTTGATATGTTTGAGACTCCTGGTAAGCTTACTTAGCGAATTGTTATTATCTGGCCGTAAAAATACGCTAATAAATGCATGGCGTTCGCATATGATATCTGTGTCTATACTTGGGCGGAGAAAAATTTGCCTAAGTCGGTGCCGTCCTTGGGGGCTAGAGGCAAAGCGTTGGAATAAACCGTATACCGAAAGACCCTCCTTCGAGGATGATGACTTTCTTCCTGGCCCTTGATTGACCATACTTGGATGAGACTCCGACTCCAGGATTTGAAGTGCCAGCAATGTTCTTCCACTCAGGAACCTAGTTCATGTCAAGATCCTTATTCTTGGTATTTGTTAAGAAACTAACACACATGGTTCCTTGTAAACTGAGCATTTCGATAGCGCGCACCTGGAAGTATGATGAAGTCTCATCACTGGAAGTAGATATCGTTGCCCTTCGCCTTTGAAGGTAAGTGAGAACAGCACCTGCGCAGCCAATTGTCACTTTATTCTCCAAGTCGATCGAACCGGGCATATGTAAGAACCTGCCATCTTGTAACGTAAAGTCCAGACTCTCAGTGTCCATCTGCTCCGGATCAATTAGTCCATTGTGGGGCACCAGGAACCTGATGCGTTGCTCGTGTTCCGAGGATATCTCCAATGCCGCTAGTTTATTCTTCGCGTTGAGGTAACTGAATTCTTGGGACGGACGAACATCGAGCTGATAGGGAAGGTAAGATTGACTACCTACCATTTCTCAACCTCCAATTCTTAACCACTAGACACCCCTGGAGCTTACTATTTCCTTGCCCAGACTCCTCTATGTCCTGTGGACCGAGATAGTCGACTCGCGGTGAAAGTAGGAGTACCGTAGGCTTAGCCTGAATGACCACTAGGGCTTGATTAGTATCTTTGAAACGATGAATTGGATTGCTTAACGAACGACTATCGAGGATCTCAGTGCCAGCTGATTGCATGTCTCCAAACAAATATAGTGTCTCTTCCTGTGCTGCATAGTATGAACAACCTATAATGCCGGATTCTCTGATGTCAATGGCTACCATTACTTGATCAAGATCATCATCTGTGAGCTGTTGTATCGGACCACCAGATAGATAGTCTCGGGAATCATTGGATAATGGTTGCCTCAGTACGGGAGATCTTTGTGAGCTGGAAGGAGGATTGTATGAGGTACTGGGCTGTGTACCTCTATGGCTAAGTCTAGAATGGGAAGAATGTGGTGTGGCGTATGAGTGATATGTTGTTCGTCTTTTCTTTGATCGACTATCCATAGTGTCCGGTCAATGATGGTGCTCAAGTGAAGTCTTGTGATTGTGATTATTGTCCACGGAAGGCAAATGTGGTCGAAAAAACTGCTAATATACTAAAATGAGGGACTTGGGGCCTGTGGCCCGAACATCAGACCAGGTTTGCTTTTATGAAATTCTAGAAGCTAATAACGACGATTCTCATGCAAAAGAAATTCATATACATATGTGTCTAGGTAACACTGTAGTAATATACACACAAAAGCGGAGATCTCGTTAATATACATGGGCATCATTAAGAGTGAAGACGTTCTCAACACCATTTTCCCAACCTACCGAACCTGCTTGGGTTATCCAACTCCAGTGAAGAAAAAAAAAAAAAAATAGACAAAAGAATAGAAGTTCATCTTAACACATTTATGGGTTTTCGGTCTCTGTCGGGTAAGTTGCGTTTGTTGCATCTTCAGTCTTTGTTCCTTCTGCAGTAACTTCAAGCCCACTCTTGTCGGCGTTGAATGAAACATGGGCGGTTTGTCCGGAGGTGACCTCACCACGAATAATTTTATCGGCCAGCCTGTTACCGATTTCTTTTGCGATCAGACGGTTGAGGGGACGAGCACCATATCTAGGGTCGTATCCTTTTTCGCAAAGCCAGTCCTTGATCTCTCTGTCCACCTGCAGAGTCATCCTTCTATCATCGAGCCTTGATTGAAGCTCTTTGAGTCTGATATCGACAATGTCTCTAAGAGCTTCTCGAGAGAGTCTCTTGAAAATAATAAATTCATCAATCCGATTGAGGAACTCTGGGGGATAGGCATGTTGCACCACATCCATGACTGCTTTCTTGGTATCAGGGGAAACCTCATCCTGATCGGTCTGCTTGAGAGTATGCAGGGGATCCGAACCCACAAGGATATCGGCCCCGAGGTTGGACGTGAGGACAATAAGGGTATTCCTGAAATCAACTTTGTGTCCCTGAGCATCCGTGAGGAAGCCCTCATCCAAAACTTGAAGCAGCAAGGCAGATATATCACGATGAGCTTTTTCAAATTCATCGAACAAAAGGACCGCATACGGCTTCCGTCTGACGGCTTCTGTGAGCTGGCCGGCATCGTCGTAGCCCACGTAACCGGCGGGAGAACCGATTAAGCGACTGATCGTGTGTTTTTCCTGGAATTCGCTCATGTCAAATCTCACAACGGCTGTCTCGGTGGAAAACAAGAACTCGGCCATTTTCTTGCAGAGTTCAGTCTTTCCAACACCTGTAGGACCGAGGAACATAAATGATGCCAGTGGCCGATTTTCTCCGCTGAGACCTGCTCTCTGCATACGGACTGCGTTGGCTACTGCAGAGAGCGCTTCGTCCTGGCCACGAATAGACCGTCGCAGAGTGTCCTCCATCCGTATCAGTTTTTCAACTTCTCCGGCCATGAGCTTATTGACTGGAATACCGGTGGTCCGCGAAACAACGTTCGCAATGTCATCCGCCGTGACAGAGTCATGAATCAGATTCTGAGATCCTGCAACCTGCTCTTCACCTTCCTTAGGCAGCTTGGCTTCGAGACTTGGGATGGTGGAGTACCTCAACTCGCCGGCTTTTGCAAAATTTCCTTCTCTCTGAGCCTGCTCAAGTTCGAAACGAGCACGCTCTAGGTCCTCTTTGGTACGCTTGAGCGTTTCGATTTCAGCCTTCTCTTTCTCCCAAGTCTCCGTCAATTTGGCGGCTTCTTCTTGTTTGGCTTTTAAGTCTTCCTGTAGTTTTTCTCGTCTCTCACGGCTGCTGACATCGGTTTCCTTGCGCAGGGATTCGAGCTCGATCTGGATAGTGGTGATATCTCGATCCAGTTCACGAATTACATCTGGCTTTGATTCTTGCTGCAGTCGTAGGGCTGATGCGGCCTCATCCACTAGATCAATAGCCTTGTCCGGAAGGAAACGGTCGGTGATATAACGGTTACTGTAAGTTGCTGCGGCTACTAAGGAGCCATCTGTGATCCGTACACCATGATGGACTTCGTACTTGTTCTTTATACCACGCAAGATAGATATTGTGGCAGCCACGGACGGCTCTCCGACCATGATCGGCTGGAACCGTCTCGCCAGGGCGACATCCTTCTCGATCAATCTGTATTCATTTAAAGTGGTGGCGCCACAGCACTGGAGCTCGCCCCTTGACAAGGCCGGTTTCAAGAGGTTACTAGCATCGATGCTGCCCTCTGCCTTTCCGAGACCAAGTAAAGTGTGCAGCTCGTCAATGAATAGAATCACACCGCCTTGTGCCTCTTCGACCTCTTTGAGAACAGATTTCAAGCGTTCTTCGAAATCACCTCTGAATTTCGCACCAGCTATAAGCGCACCTAAATCTAGAGAGATGACACGTTTGTCCTTGACACTCTCCGGGACATCTCCTTGGACAATCCTTTGGGCCAAACCTTCCAAGACCGCTGTTTTTCCGGTACCAGCGGCACCTATCAGTACCGGGTTATTTTTCGTTCTCCTTGACAAAACTTGGATAGTTCGATGAATTTCAGCATCTCGCCCGATGACGGGATCCAGCTTGCCGGCCTTCGCCTTTGCGGTAAGATCAACTCCATATTGTTCTAAAGCTGACTTCTCCGGCTCACCTCCCAAATTCATGCGGTGAGTACCGCCAGGGGGATGAGGGCGTCCACTCGCATAATTGCGAACCGGGGATATAGGCTGGAATATATGTGTCTTATTTGTGATGGAAGGAAGGATCCGGGCGTGCGAAGGCAAACGTAGTTGTTGAGTAGGGCGGAATATATGGTTTGGCGATGATAGTGCTGGGGAGCGCAGCAGACGACCTCGAGCGAGCTGCAACCTTGAAGCCATGGCTAGCTAGAATCTGGCAATGGGTTCGAGATTGAGAAGTCCGATTCAAATGCTAATCGAGGTCATCCATGCGAGAGACTATGACATGCCTATATACCCTGGCAACCCCAAGCATCGTGACGCTTCTCGAAAGCTCCACCGCGGCGGCAACGGTGAGTGGCGGAAGCTCTCCTAGAGGGCCGACGAGCTCCGTCCGTGGTCACGTGCGGCTCCATTGAGGGGCTATTTGGCCGCCATCGAAAATTTCACACCTCGAGTGGATCTGCTGCCGAAAAAAATTGGTTTCGAACACCTTCCCCCTCCTACTCTCCTATATATTACTCCTCTTCCTCCCCCTTACTTCCCACACCAACCACATCTCTTTCACACATAAATCACTCGTCACAATGGGTTTCACCGACTTGGTTTCTGACGCTGGCCTCACTGGTGCGTTTCTTCTTCTTCTTCTTCTTCTCCTTTCTTCTCCTTAGGCTCTGCTTCTTCATTGCTTGGGTTTTCCTGAAAGCTAATGTTACCCCTCAGTTGCCAACAACTGGTTCGCCACCAGGAGCTACGTTATTGGGTAAGTTATTTGGCATCAATTTTCTTGTTTCGATTACATGCTTCCGATCCGATATGATGAAAACAAATTGGTCCGTGTTTATGAGGCGGCTTAAGACCCCGCTGCAAGATTACACAACTTTGCGAGCAATCGCGTTTCTGATTACCAGGAAAAGAAAAAAGAAAATCTTTCTCCTTTGCGATATGTTGCCTGTCTTTATACTTTCTTGAAGGCCACTATAGTGGGTGTCTTGGATTCTCTAAACTGACTGGCAACCAGCGATGCTCCTTCTCAGGCCGATGTCGTGACCTTCAAGGCATTCTCCGGCGCCCCTGACGCTGAGAAGTACCCTCACGCTGCCCGTTGGTACAAGCACATTGCTTCCTACGAGGCTGAGTTCGGCTCCCTCCCTGGTGATGCCTCTAAGGCCTACACCACCTACGGCCCCGAGTCCACCGAGCTCCCCACCAACCCTAAGGACAAGCCCGCCGATGATGATGATGACGACGTGGACCTCTTCGGCAGTGACAGCGAGGAGGAGGACCCTGAGGTCGCCAAGAAGCACGCAGAGAATCTTGCTGCGTACAAGGCGAAGAAGGCGGCCAAGCCTCAGGCCATCCACAAGTCCCTTGTCACTCTTGAAGTCAAGCCTTGGGGTATGTATCCTATGCCTGATGCTCCCCGAGGAAGCCACATATGCTAACCATTCTGCAGATGACGAGACCCCCCTTGAGCAGCTTCTGGCTAACGTCAAGGCAATTGAGAAGGATGGCCTTGTCTGGGGTGCCCACAAGTGGGTTGAAGTTGGCTTCGGTATCAAGAAGCTCCAGATCAGTCTTGTTGTTGAGGACGACAAGATCTCCCTTGATGAACTCCAAGAGGAGATCCAGGAGGACGAGGACCACGTCCAGTCCACTGATATTGCTGCTATGTCGAAGCTGTAAATGAAACGTTTATGAAAAGAAACGGTGTGATGAAGGAATTTTCATGTTATTGAACGGAAACCAAAGTCATGAATCTAAGCAAATAACTAGAACTCGATCGGTATTGTCCGATTGTTTTGATGAAAAAAATGAAAAATACCCCAATAATACCACATCGTTGTTTCTTCAGTTCCAGTAAACGTATACCTTTCTAGGATATGCTCTTGTCACATGATGCTTAACTATACTTAATCAATGTTCATTCAGGGGTGAGCTGGGCTGCAATGGTGCCCAACTTTCCTTGATTTTGGCGTTTGGTGAACGTGGGGTTTGTGGGAAGAACCGGACGTATATGCACAAGTGGTTTCCTTGGTCCACCGTAGAAGCTAGATTGCTCCGGAACATCGTTACTAAGCTTTGCTCGCCCAGTCACTTCAGAACCATCTGAGGATTCAAGCATTTCTGTGGCACAAGCAGACAGAAAATTGTCGAGTCTTGATAGCTCATTTTTTCTTTTTCAATTGATCAGGTTACATTGGATGGCTATGGGTCTCATCTCACGTTTGGTGACGTTCTTCGGACTCGTCCTCCTTGCCCATGCGTGAGTACCGCGATTTGCCTTATGAATAGAACCATCCTGTTCTTTTTGCAACAGAATTGCTTACCAAAATAATCGGGAAACCAGGGGTTACTCCGCTCATGAGCATACGGTCTTGTACAGCAATGCCCGCCTCTCCGCGTCTACTGCTCTTCCTCAGGATATCGTCATCGAAGCTCTAGTATCCCTCGTTCTCGTTTCAGTGGGCCTAGTGTTGGGCGCGCCTAAATTGAAGCCGATTAGCTGGAGCCAGTGGGCTGGGGAGATCGAGAAGGAGGGTGGTGGCAGAAACCCCTACCGGAGGTTGGAGGAGAGGTATAACTTCTGGGATGTGCGGGTACGTGCTATACAACTTTTCTGATGGAGTCTGGTCTCTGAGGATATGCTTCTGACTGTACTAGGCCAAACGGAAAGAATTTGCGGATTGGATCAAGGGCGAGAATCCTCTAAAGGAGTGATGCATGCTTTGCTATAGGAAGCTGTCTGGAATAATACGTTTATGTACAGTTATATCAGGCAAAATTAATGAACAAGTGGTTGCTCCTGGGTCTGCGCTGCTATTCCTATTGCGTTGCTTTGGGTTTGATAATTTGGAGATCTGTTACCAGCTGAGTATGTGTGGAGTACACATTGAGTGTGATGCAGTTACAGGGTGTCTGGTGTCATGAACTCGGAAGACGCTTCACCGATGTGTCGTTTCTTTTCAATCGATGCCCTGGCCCTACTAAGGAGCCATTCCGTCATACCTTCCAGTATTATGACAACATGAATAGCCGACTGACGGTTTTAATGTACTGCCTGAGCCCACCTCAGGTATTGGCAGTATCTCTGACCTGTCCAAGCCTCAGAAAACAAGCATTGTATCTTTGGTTCTCCACGACTCCTATAACACTTTCAACAGCTAAACCCACAACTCTTAAAGGACAACCCTAGAACATACGTTAGCCCAACAATGCCATGAGCATCTCCCAGACACCACCCTCCTAATTAGATCCCAACGCTAAACACTGTCAACAATGGAAACTTCCATCACAGACAAAAACCCTACATTAAATCCCCTACATGAACACCCCATCCGCACACAATATATCAGAACGCCCCTCAAAAACCACCAGATACCAACTCCGCCCCCTCCAAAGGGCGGCACAAACCGTAAGCAAATGGAGCATGTCTCAAATCCCCCCCAGCCCACATTTCCACCAGCACAAGAATAGAAGGCTAACCGAGCTCCCCCGAAGCTCCATAAACATGTCAATTGGCTATGTGGTCTAGCTCCATAGCACACGAGCTGGTCTTGTCTTTCACTCACCGTCAAAAACCTGGGCCTAGTGGGAGACTATTGATATTCTACGTTCTACGAAGACGCTATATCCTCCGATCAGCAGGGTCGGTTTCACTCTGGGACTTGGACCGTTGTCCCCCTCCCCCATCTCTTGGATGATAGATTCGAGGCATTGACTTTGCTGTTGTGGACTTGTGGGTGAAGCTGCGAGGTTTATGACATCGGGGGCTCTCTTAAGGGCCCTTGGGGCTTGTTTTGATGGTGAGGGATCCTCTCTCTCTCTCTCTCTCTCTCTCTCTGTGTGTGTGTGTGTGTGTGTGTGCGTGCTATATCGTGGAGATTTCTTGGGGTCTATTTGATTAAAGCTGAGTGAGCTGTTGCAAATATGGTGGCTCGGTGTGGCTGCATTTTTCCTCTACGTTGCGATCTGCGGTGGTTTCTCGCCCGGGCTCCGAACTGTGGGGACGTGAGCGTTTTCAGTTGATGTCGAAATGGAGTAAGTGCTGACGCCGATGGGTAGTTCTTCGCAAAAGCAAGTAAGAATAGGGAATACGCCAGTATATAACAAACCAAGCCAATGGGAATGGAAGGAGGAAGTACAGCATCGTAGGATGAGATGGGATTAACCCCGAAGTTCTATAGATCTACAACGGGAGGAAGTATGCAAGACTATGCCTATCACTGTCGATACTTCCACCCAACCGGGATCTTACTAGGATGTACTAAGATCGTTGTGATATCAACGTTGCAACGACAGACACCGGCAGTGAGGAACAAACACGAACCCAACCCCAAGATGTGGAACCCACTCCAAGCCGCACGAGCTGAATAACAAAGATAGAAAGACAAGACAAAGTCGCATGAGTGGTAGATTATGGGGTACGTGTGACTGTGTGTTCCACATACTTCTTCTCACACCCAAAGAAGGAAAGCATCAGTCCCCATAATAATATTATCACATAAATTGCCAGACTCCACCCATGCGGCAGATTGATGGGGACAACATGGACGGAGGACAAACCCTAACATTGCCATCATCCTGTTCCAGAATCGAAGAAAGAGGGGGGGTTCCATTATCTTAAAGGGCAATAAAAAAAAAGAGAAAAAAAAAAAAAAGAAGACAGAAGATGGAACCTTTTCATTATTTAGGCTTGTTTGGGATACCTGTGGATATAATGACCCTTTGCTCTTCATTAACCGAGATTTATCGTGACATTCTGTTATCCTTGCATTTGCCGTTGGGGCAATGGAGAGTCTGGCCATTTACTTGGCACCCTCTTTTTTGCTTTTTTGGTTTTTCTTTTTCTTTTCTTTTTTTTTTTTTTCCACTGGGGGCTTTTTGGTTCTGACTTGTTAGTCCAAAGGTTGTTCGTATTACAACGCCCTGCGTGTACTGGTTAGTACCTTACGGGAGGTAAAAGAACTTTGGTTCTGGCCCTTGTCGCAATCCATGTCTTGGATGGAATGTGTTGATCGGCACTGTCAAAAGGTTGCTGCATACGTAGACAGGTAGACTAGTTTTAATTGTCCTGTACAAGGTACCGGATGTAGAGATAGTTCTCTCTGCTCTTAGGTATGACTTGGTCATTTAAAGTCAAGGTACCCTGTACATATTTCGGCAACGAACAAAGCGATGGCGAATGTTACCGGCGGGAGTGAACCCATGACAACCTGATCCATTAAATTGAACATGTCCGGACGGTCATACAGGCCAAGGGTGTTACAACAGTAAGGTCTGAATCGGTGGCGGCACTGGGCAAGATCGAGGCTTGAGCCTCGAACGTACTGGAACCTGTACACGTACGTATGGTATTAGGTCCCCCCATCGCGCCATCCAATCCCCCATTCCCGACGAGAGACAAGTAGTGGTGGCTTGACTCAGGTTGAAGGAGTAGACACGGGAGGCTGAGACCAGGCCCCGGGTGACTAAACCGATTTAGGGATAAATTAGATTATCGGTCGTCCCGTTTCTTGGTCCATGCGGATCAGACATAGGACATATGCATCGGCCGGTCGTCTTGGGGAGAAGTCTTGTTTGTCACTAAGGCAAGAAGTCGTCCAACAATCTCTCTCCTGCGGATATCCTCCTCGTAATTTAGTGTACTCCGTGCGGTCGTTGGCGTTTTTTCAAGGGCTAAAATAGAAGATTTGACTCATTACGTGTGCTGTTGATGACGAGTGAAGGATCTTACTATTAGTTCTTGGGAGGGGATCTATTGGTACCTACGTGGATAGGTATTATATTCTGAACGGATTTGAATACTTATGTATTCCGTACTCCGGGTTACATCTTTTTCGCTTCTGATAGTCAGAAAATCAATAAAGGGAAGGGACGAGAGGTTAAACGAGAAAAAAAGAAAAATAAGAAAATAAGAAAAAGAAACGAGAAGAAAAAAGGAAATTCTGAGACAGGGAAACAAAAATAAAAAATTGGAAATTAAAGAAAATTAAAAACAAAAAAGGAACCAGAGCTTCGCCTGATTCTACCTTCTTTGATGGGACGGTTAGAATTGTATAGAAACTGGATCTAATTGGTCACGGGCTGGCAAGACAGTGGATCCCCAAGCTGAGGATGTGTTGTGGTGGCCACCAAAAATAGTATGAAGCATACGCAACCTCCAAACCTGTGGAGATGTGTATGGGGAGGAATTTTCTCTAATGACAGGGATTCTTGATGGATTCTCATGACCCGATGGATATAATTCTATTGACAGGGCTTAGACCAAGGACGTCCTAGACACAGTGTCTGGACTCTGGCCTCACAAAATTTCCCAACTGGGATGCTGGTCGGGAATGATGCTTTGAATTGTGACTTTCTCTGGGCTCAGCATCCGTACCTTTTAGACTAAACCCTTCTTTAGAACAAGTGGATCCCGAGATGCAGATACGATTGCCACTAAAGATGCAGACAGGGCTGACGGGGAGGGCGACTTGACACCTAATAGATCCTTAGTTTTGTGTCAAGTATTCACATGTGGTGACTGTATTATTGTTATTATTATTTTCTTTTTTCTTTTCTTTTCCTTTTTTTTTTTTTTTTTTTTCAAAATGCAATCCATTTGATTGACTTACCTATTATTAGTGTTCATGGATAATCCATCTTTCCCCTTCCTTCCTTATTAATTTTGGATTATTATTATTATTATTATTATTTATATTATTTGTTACCCCGTCCTTCTTGTCTATTTAAAGACACCCCCTGCGCCCGGTCACTCTTTGTTTGACCCTTTTCTTTCCCGGAGTAATATAAAGGAACCCATACACTCGTTTCCTATTCCATCCAACAATTACACTCGCTTGCCTTCCTCTGCGTGTCATCGTCTGATCATCTCCGCCCCCAGTTCACTGCCAATTAATTGATCAACGGATCTACTCTAAACATCAAAATGCGTGCTACTTTCATCCTCGCTGCCTTCGCTGCTGTGGCTGCTGCCCAGTCTTCTTCTGCGATTGTAAGACCATACTTTGTCTCATCAAAGCGTTCTACCATTCTACAGTGCTAACTTGGATCTCACTCTAGCCTGAGACTTCCTCTGATGTCGAGACCACTGGCGCGGCTGAGACGGGCACTGTCACTCCCACTGGTGGCGCTGAGACCGGCTCTACTGTCATTCCCACCGTCACCTCTCAGCCTGTGATCCCTTCTGGAACGGCTACTGAAGCCCCTACTACTCCCACCGCTAGCGGTGCTGAGTCCTCCGGTGCTGTGACCGGATCCAGCTCTGCTGGTTCCTCCACCCTCGTTACCAAGTCTAGCAGCGCTGCGAAGAGCTCCTCTGCGACTGCGACTGAGACATCCACCAAGACCAAGTCGACCGACGAGTCCACCAGCACCAAGAGCTCTTCCTCCAAGTCCAGCTCCGCTGCCTCCAGCACCTCTGAGGGCGCTGCCGTCCCCATGGCCACTGCTGGTCCTCTCGGTCTCATTGCCGGTGCTGCTATCGCTGCTCTCCTGTAAATGGACTGCTCGTGAACCATTAAACGCTTGGTCGATTGACAATATCGCTTCCGTTCTCAAGCATCAGTGTGCTTCCCCAAGTGGACTTGTGCTCCATGGACCTCCCCCCTCCAACCGTCCCAGCTACCGGGGATGGTGGAACGATAAGAGATGAGGCATACGGATACTGAGGTTCATTTCCATACTCCATATGTATCATTGCCTGGAAGGGCTTTTTTTCCCCCCTCCAATTTTCTTTCTTTTCTCGTCTGACTTCCAAAGTCGCCGCTGTTACACAAGACACGCTTAATATTCGACGCGCACATATCAAACTTGTCTCTCTTCAAAGTTTAATCATAATACCATAATGATGCTACGCTACAGGTAAATAGGAATTCCATGTTCTGAGGAAATCCGTGATGATGATTTGTTTTGTTGTACTATGCTTGATGTCACCTGTAGATCTTTTATGTAGTGTTAAACTTTGTTGACAAGTCTGCTCAAACGCAGACGCAATATCAAATCTATTATTCTCAATTGAGCAACAATCGGCTAGTTTTCTAAAGAAGATAAAATAACGCGGCCTAGTATATGTATGTCAGCACTTCAAACTGAAAATGCTACCCCATAACTCAAAGAGTGAAGACAGGAGAGACAACAAGGCTAGGAAGGAGATGTGGGCCCGTCAGGTGGACCAGATTTACATGAAGCGTACTATGTTAATAAGCAGCCTATTTTGTTCTAGAACGGCGATCCTTCTAAAGGGGATAGGCAAATCACTAAAGCGACTCACACGAAGTGACTCGCCATGTCTCTAAATAAGCCACTGAGGTCTCGACTTTTCACACTATACATACCATCTCAAGGACGCTGTACTGTGCTTAGGGGTAAGCTACAGTGTACGGAGTTCTTAACCACTGTTTACCTTTTGTTATGACAAGTGTCATGTATACCTGCTATATCTATCTAGACTACAGAGTATCAGAAATGTCATGAAAGCCCTAATTCAAGCAAAGCAAGCGTTCGTGTGTTGAACATGATGTATATCCTAATCGAGAGATCATAAAGCAGGTATGTACATATGTACATACACGGACATACACCCGTACATACATACATACATACATACATATCCATACATCATAAACGTCAACTTGAACTATCACTTAATCTCAATGAGCATTGCATCGGATAAATTCCGACGCAAGTCCCATTCCGGAGCCGTTTAGGTTGAGGCTTCTAATCCCCTATCAAAAACCATCTAGACAACCCTTAATGACAAAAGTGAAACCCAAGAATGTGTCAACCCACTAACTAGTACATACATCAATTGGAACCACTAGTCAATCCCTTTGTAGATTCACAATCAAAATCTAACCAAGACTACCAGGGTAGATAATATAGCAGGTGTACATGTACTATCCTCCGTACCAAATCAGGAAACCAACCGAGCCAATAACACTTCCTAAAACGCGCCGACGACGCGTCAGTCACATGATAGTCGCGTTTGTTTGTGAACCATGGAACAACCCGTATCGGGTCTAGTGCCGTCAGCTTCACATCATCAAAACAAAAGAGGGCTGTTGGGGGCAACCAAAGTTTGGGTCCATAGCCGCAATTTGTTAAAACAGGTTCAGCATTCTTGTCTTTTCCTGGGGGAAGTTGTGGTTACTCCGGTTGCCTTTTCCTATAGACAAGGATATCCCTTCATTGGTCTATATTTGATTTGGGGGGGAGTATAGTTGGTTACAAACATCTGTTCTCAAGTGAACACTTCTACAACAGAATTCAAGTCTGTGAACTCAGGGACAAAAGAAGAAATGGTGAGTTACTAGTGCCAGTCCCTAACAGTTGATCTGCAAAACACTAATCGTGCATAAAACGCCCAGGTTTCAAGTTTAAAACGTCTCGCTGCGGACCACGCCGCATTGCATGATGACCTGCCCCCGAACTATCTCTTCCCCTCGGAAGACTCGTCTAGCGATGACCTCACTCAACTTACGACCTTGCTGGCGGGTCCGCAGGGAACACCATATTCACAAGGCCTATGGCGCGTACACTTGAAGATGCCAGATGACTATCCTAAAAGTCCGCCGAAGGCGACCTTCAAAACCCGCATATGGCATCCCAATGTGGAGGAGTTGACGGGTGCGGTCTGCGTCGATACACTGAAGCGGGACTGGAAGGCGACTCTGACGTTGAAGGACGTTTTAGTTGTGAGTGTGCACGGTCTCTGTGAGAGGTATAATTGGACAGAGGGGCTAATAAATTGCGGTGTGCGTACAGACAATTTCATGCCTGCTTATTTACCCGAATCCAGATTCTGCGTTAAATTCTGCGGCCGGTGCTCTACTTCAGGAGAATTACGAGGCTTTTGCGCGACAGGCTAAACTAATGACGTCCATTCATGCGCCGGTGCCGACGGACTTGAAAAGTGCAGCAGCGGAGGCAAAGACCAAGGGAGAAGATATCGGAACGACGATCCCGGAGCAAGAAGAACCTCGCTTGTTGCGTTCAAGAAAGGGAACTAGAGTTCAATCCGTGACTATGAAGAAGAATAACACCCGGAAGAACGGAGAGCGGGCATCATCACGCTCACAGCGTCAATCCAATAGTCCGGAGACAGTGAGTCTTGCCGAGGAGCAACAATCAGAGGTTCACCATGAAGTCGATTCAATAATCTCAGACGACGAGTCTGAGAACCTCTCCAACGCCAGCAAAGAGAACGATCCAGCACTATCGCCGTCCCCGGTCAAATTTGCTCCACCGAGCCCCAGGAAAAACGCCCTCGGAAAACGTCCCCTATCCGTCCTAACGCTGCCTCTAGATACAGACCCCTTTGCAATGGATCCAGACGACAGTGACCTGGAAGGCATGACGGCGTCTGAGAAGAACATCGCAGCAAACAATTACGGTGGCAGCTCAGAACGCGATCCTTCTCCACAGAGCAAGTCGCCGAAGTTGTCCGTCCGTAGTAAAGGGGTCAATTCATCCGGGCGCATACGGGAAGAAGTCAAGATATTCGAAGACGCTCCAGAACCGCTTGACTTGGACCGCTGTCATAGCGGGGACGGCAAAGAGAACCATGGCTCCCTGGCCGGCCCGAAAGGACTTGGTCTTGCTTCCAGAAAAGCGCATCCCACTTGCCCTCTGACTTCACTCGCCCCGCCCTCCACGTCTGCCCCGTCTAGTTCAAAAGCCTCTAAGGCCGTCTCTGGTACGCGAAAAGTATCGGGTTCCAATATGAAGAAGGCAAAACCACGTATAGGCATTCGCAGGTTATAATTGGACTCATGACTGAACGTCGCAATCTTTTTTTCTTGATATATGTTTGTTTGATTTCTTGATGCATTGAGGCAAACGATTGGACCTGGCGTTTGGGTTAAATGGGTCAGCGGTGTTGGCTGCATCTGTCTTTCTAGAACTCGGGGAGGGATCTTGCATACTGGTTGGAGCACTTGTTCCGGAATCCTTTGATTGTTCATTCATGATACATAATAACTATGGCCGTGTGAAATTACAGCACGGGCGTCACTTTTGAATATCTAATAGAGGCCGTCGTGGACATGCAAGATGGCAAGCGCAACTGTTTCGAGGAGCCCTATTGACTATGGACGTTACTACGATCACTTTCTTTACCTCAACTTACAGGCGAGGAGCGGAGAGACTCTTACGCGAAGCCGCTTGTTTCGAAATAAATTATGCAAACATCTAAAGCGAATAGTCAAATTTTTTCCTTGAGCCTCCTCACGATCGGATTTTTCGATCCATACTAAGAATAATGAAGACCCCTTTCTCGTACCATCCGGCCCCCCGGGTCCCTATTGTCGGGAACCTTTGGCTCTTGAAATGGTTCCTCGCGTGAGGAATAGTATACTTCCCCCATGAGTAATGCTGTGACTGATATAAACGACACACAACAACCGGTGCAGTGAAACATTCCTGCAAGTTTGGGAGGCTCATAGCCATTATAATGGAGATAACAAACTAACACGCTAGACTGATTAAAGCAATATTACCAGAAGAAGGAGGGAACCACAACGGTCCACCGTTTGACATCTGGCGGTAGCAAATACGATGGTACTGTATGACAGCCAATGTATATCAATATACGACCGTTGTGATAGGTCTGCCAACCAGGCCAAAATCGGCTTTCGTAAGCATGTAGACACATGTTCGATGGCGCGGTGTTGAGACTTGGGCTTCTACAGAGCGTAGGGATTCACAGAGCGGATAGTAAGACAACTAAGATAAGGGTTAGTAAATGCGTAAACCAGAGACAAACTAGGAAGCACATACGGAGGGCTCTTGGACAAATCGGTCTTCAGGATGATGGGGACCCGGGTCATCTCGGTGACGTCTTGGATATACTCGCCGTCCTCTTCCCTGAGCTTGAAGAGCTGTAGGTACTTCTCCTTGTTGGTCAATTTCGCCTCGGGAGCATCGCCGCTGATCGTTGCAATCTTCGGATCTGAACGGGTTCTGTGGGGCGACTGCTGAAGATGACCATTGCGAGTTGGGGAGGGCGGCATGCTCTGAGTCGAGCGATCAGCAGATGAGTTTAATGACACGCCTGCAGCCATCTCAGTGACCTCGGAGACGTCATCATCGTCATCGTCGAACAGGGCATCCACGTCGTTGGTGGAGATCGTTCCAGTCTCAGTCTGCTTTCGCATAGCCTCCTCCCTCTCACGGGCACGCTCTCTGGCAGCTTCTGCCTCACGCGCAGCTGCCGCAGCCTGAGCAGCACGGGAGTTCCCGGGTTTTGGACGTTCATCCTCAGGAATGTATGCCGAGGACGGGACACCCTTCTCCCAATAGAGCTCCAAGACACGGGAGTCTTTGCGGAACTCAGCCTTCTTCAAGGGCAATTGGTCACAGTGGACACGCTTCTCAAATCCAAATTCCGGAATGAGGACATCAAAAGCAGACTCATAGACGCAAAGGACAATACCCTCACTAATAAGGTCACCGCCAATCTCCTGTCTCTTCTTGTCCATGTTGCGGCACGCTTCGATGTGAACACTTTGCTCCTGAGCATTGTGGGCAGAGTCCTTCTTGTTGTTGCAAACGTCCGCTGCCTTGTTCAGGGTTTCGACATCATCAGAGAACTCAATGGCACCGTTAGATAGAATGGCTTCCAATTGGCGATGAACGATGATGTCCGCATAACGGCGAGATGGATTGGTGAAATGGGTGTAGACTGGAAGGTTGAGGGTGTAATGATGACGCTGCTCGTCCTGAACGCTGCTGGCGACATAGTATTTGGCACGCTGCATAGCCTTAACCAAGAGTGTTTCCATACCCTGGGCGATGTTAGTAGGGCTGTGATATTAAAAAAAAAGACATTTCCCGAAGAGGTATCTGCTCCTCTTCGGTGTACGAGGGAAGCGAACCCACCTTACGCAAATCATCGTCCTGGACCTTGCAAAGACTGCTCTGCAAGGTACCACTGCTTGTTGGGTCCAAGTCAAACCCAAGCCTGTTCATCCGATCAATGAACAAGTGGAGGCGGCGCACATTGGGCGAAGGCTGACGACGGAGG